TTAACAACGGAGTTTACCCCGGTGAATGAGAGGGCTGTTTCCCTGCGCCTTCGGGTCGGGGATAGGTCCCTGACTGTCATCTGCGCTTATGCGCCGAATGTCAGTTCAGAGTACCCGGCCTTCTTGGATTCCCTTAGCGGTATGCTAGTTGGCATGCCGCGACGGGATTCCATCGTTTTGCTGGGGGACTTCAACACTCACGTGGGCAATGACAGTGTGAACTGGAAGGGGGTGATTGGGAGGAATGGCCTCCCTGATCTGAATCCGAGTGGTGTTCTGTTATTGGACTTCTCTGCAATGCATGGTTTGTCCATAACGAACACCATGTTCCAGCATAAGGGTGTCCATAAGTGGACATGGTACGAACATGCCCGGGGCTACAGGTTGATGATCGATTTCATAATCGTATCATCTGATCTGCGGCCTTCCGTCTTGGACACTCGGGTAAAGAGAGGGGCAGAGCTGTCAACTGATCACAACCTGGTGATGAGTTGGCTCAGGTGGTGGGGGAGGAAGCCGGTCAGACCTGGTAGGCCCAAGCGCATAGTGAGGGTCTGCTGGGAACATCTGGCAGAGGCTCCTGTTTGCCGGAGCTTTAATTCGCACCTCCGGCAGAATTCCAACTGCATACCGGGGGAGGTTGGGGACATTGAGTCTGAATGGACACTTTTCCGGACCTCCATTGTGGAAGCGGCCGTACAGAGCTGTGGCTGCAGGGTGGTCGGTGCCAGTCGTGGCGGTAACCCCCGTACCCGATGGTGGACGCCAGAGGTGAGGGGGGCTGTCAAGCTGAAGAAGGAGGCTTTCCGGGAATTATTAGCCTGGGGGTCTCCCGTCAGACCAGGCAAAACGCAGCTCGGGCAGTCGCAGAAGCAAAAACCCGGGCGTGGGAGGAGTTCGGTGAGGCCAAGGAAAGTGACTTTCAGTTGGCCTCAAAAAGGTTCTGGCAAACCATCCGGAATATTAGGAGGGGGAAGCAGCTCCTGGTTCCTACTATTTATAGTGGGGAGGGGGTGCTGTTGACCTCACCTGGGGACATCACCCGGAGGTGGAAGGAATAATTTGAGGACCTCCTCAACCCTGCCTCAGATACATCTATGCACACTGCCTTTGAGACATCTGAGGGCACAGAGCCCGAGGGTGCTGGGGGGGGGGCTTGCCCATCACTGGGGCTGAGGTGGCCAGGGTGGTTAAAGAGCTACATGGTGGCCGGGCCCCGGGGGTGGACGAGATCCGCCCGGAGTGCCTGAAGGCTCTGGATGTTGTGGGGCTGTCGTGGCTGACACGCCTTCTCAAC